ATCAATCAATCAATCAATAGCTGGTTGGGCCACGGTGGGATGAGGATGTTAGTGAGTCTGGGTGAGCTCACAGAACATGTTTCTAAAATCAGAGATTTTTATCCAATGTAGACAAACGAGCGTTTTATTAATGAACTTTTGGAGAAACCCAGAAGCACAGACGAAGACCAATGTCTGAGGTTCGTGGCAACTGTCCTCCTCCCCGTCCTTACGTTGTGGGCACAGCAGGAGCGGCCAAGGCGCAGTCACAGGATGGCTTTGGCGGCCCTCTGTGAACGGAAGCTCGACGGCTTGCTTGGAAGAACCGTCCATGAAGACTTCGCACAGAGGGAACGTGTTCTGAAACTCTGTCGATTTTGCTCACTGGAGAGGAAGTGTGCTAATGATGTCATGGATTCTTGGAGAGCCCCGTGATGCTAGAGCTTTTGGTCTCCCCCATCCCGGTTGTGAGCCTGTAGTGACCCCTCAGTAGATATCTATCAGATAAGCCTGGACCGTTTGTCCCAGGGTCGCCGGCAGAGTTGTCCAGATCTGGGGCCCTGTGCCTCTGTGCCTCTGTGCTGGGGCTGAGCTTGGGGAAAGCTCCAGAGGGACATGTTGCGGGGGGTCTTTCGAGGCCTGAGTGTGAGGCAGGGCTCGCGCGAATGAGTCACCAGGGGTGACCTGCTACAAAACTTCGGGGGGAGCTTTCCTTGGTCCTAAGGGAGACCCACGGAAGGGACTAGTTTCCTCCTCCTCTACAAGAAGTAGTAAGTGCAAACAATGCCTGGATGTGCGCAGCCGTCCTGCAATCATGGGAAGAGGAAGCCCAAGGACGGTGGCCTGGACCCCGCGGACCTCCGAGGAGTAAGGTGGAGAAGGAACTGGAGCCCTGATGTCGTTGTCCCCTGGATGAGTCGCTATCTCTGGACTTAATCATGATGGGAAATAATATGCTTACTTAATTCTCACTGCTTGGCCCTTGCGGTTGAATTTCCTGGTTTGCACGGGGCGGCCGGAGTTAGCCAATAAAGACAAAGACGTGGGATGCCCGGCTGCACGTGAATTTCGGATGAACTATGAGCAATTTGTTAGGATGTGTGTGCTCGGTGCAGTGTCTGTCCCATGCAGTATTTGGGACACCCCTAGGCCCACACAGTCTTTGTCATTTCTCTGAAATCCTAATCTCACTGGGCACCTTGTATTTTATTTGCCAACATGAGGCTTGTAGTTGAGGGTAATTTGTCTAATGCTGAGTTTACCTAAAGGCTTTCCTCAAGTCCTGTGGGGCATGCTCTTTCCGAGGTAAAAGGTGAAAGTAGAGTCATCAATTGCATTTGGGTACACGTATTTATGGAGTCCAGCGTCCTATTCCCAAGAACTAATAAAAACGTCTAAGGTATTTTTCTTCATGAGACTTGTCAGTGAATCCTTCCCCCAATGTGAAATAGTATCGTCAGGCAGATTAAGTGTGGAAAGAGTCAGATCCTTCGATCTCAGCCTCTCTACTTACCACCTGTATGGGGCTGGAGGAGTCACCTCTCTGAGTCTCAGTATCTCGCCCTGTCGCTTTGAGGAATCAGTCAGACACATTTGGAGACGCACCTTCCACCCTCCACGTCAGGCGCACAAGCCTTGCGCACACTGGTCTCCCTCTCGTACTGATCACAAAGCGCTCTCTCGGGTGCACTTGTGAGAACCTCATATACCAAGAAGCAACAGAAGTTCGTTCTCCCCAGAACATGAGAGACTCCTAACTCTGGAAACGAACTGGGGGTGGTGGAAGGGGAGGAGGGCGGGGGGTGGGGGTGACTGGGTGACGGGCACTGAGGGGGGCACTTGACGGGATGAGCACTGGGTGTTATTCTGTATGTGGGTAAATCGAACACCAATAAAAAATAGATTTATATATATAAAAAAAGTTCGTTCTCCCAACCAAGGGCCTGCGCTGCTCCTTCCCTCTGCGCAGCCCGAGCAGAGCGAGTGCGAAAGACGTAGTCCGATGGGTTGCTTTGTGGGGTGAGAACCTTGTACTATTTACTGCGTAGCTGAGCTTTACTTGCGTGTGTACTTGTTTGTTTATTTGCACGGCTGAGTTCTCCTCCCGACTTTGGCACTGGCACATATAAGACTGCCCATCAAGAGTAGCTGTTAGTAGTACATAAACTGAAAAGTTTTTTCCCTGTCCTGGAGGAGAGAGTATCTTCAGCACGTGGCCCAGTAGGTGCCACACACTCAGAGGGTCCATGCCGAGGCACACACGACCACAGATGGGGCTCCGACCTCGCAGGCAACGCATAGGCCACACAACCTTTCTAACGTGCTAGCCTGTATTCACACTGTCATGCCCATTTTGGTAGTTTTCTCCATCTTCCCTTTGTGCACGGAAGAAGTCATTCTCACAGTCTTACGTGCTCCTAAGATCGTGCTGAAGAAGGCCCGGAGGGGGGCAGAGCAGCTACCCTTAAGGAGCTGGGTGTCCAACGGGAGCATTGCTCACGCTGTGCGCTCCAAAGGTGGGGTTAGAGTTGAAGGGTAGCAGGTAAGCGGAGGTGCGGCCCGTGAAACCATCAGCACGGCTCAGGAGGGCAAGGCCTCCAAGGTGAGGACCCCTCCTCTACTGGAGTGTTGACACAGACTCTGATGGCCATTTATCAGGAATATTACAGCAGCTCTGTTTTCTTCTTAACTCGTAAAATGGAAATATCAATCCCAATTTATCAGCTCCCAGGGGAGGGATCTGAGCCAGCTAAACCCGAGGAGACTCCTCTGCTGGTTTTCAGGCATCTGTAAAGCGCCGGTTGCAATAGTTTCCAAACTTCACTGTGGAGTAAAATTAACTTGGAATTGGAAAGATCTGGGTGCCTAGGCCACATCTGAATCTGCAGAGATTCTGATTCAGTTGACATGGGGGTGTGGCTTAAGTCTTAAGATTTTTTCCAAAGCTCTCCAAGGGATTCAAATGTACAGGACATTCGAGAATCGCTGCGCTAGTGTGCTGGAGAATTATGATTCCCGATTTTAGTTTGGAATCGGATGCAATCAGAGACGTAACATTGAGCACTTTCTTGAACTTCTCTTGGCTCTATTTACTAAAAGGAGGTGAAACATTCATACTTGTAAAGCGCCGTTCTCCAAAAATCTTATTATTCTAGGATCCTTAAAAGTTTATGAATTACGGGGCACCTGGTGGCCCAGTCAGTTAATCCACCGACTCTTAATCTTGGCTCAGGTCATAATCTCGGGGTCATGAGATCGGGCTCTGAGCTCAGCATCTGGACTGCTTGAGATTCTCTCCTCCCCTGTTGGCCCTCACCCCAGTCACACACACACACACACACACACACACTCTCTCTCTCTCTCTCAAATGAATAAATACAATATTCTTTAAAAAAATTATGAGTCATGAAAAGGCAACTTCACTCCTTTCTCACAGTAGGGGAAGATCTCTGTTCAGTGATGGGATTATTTGCACTTTGTTGGTGTTAATGGCCAGCAAAATGGTCATAGACTCTCCTCGAATGGGGATGGTCCCGCCTCTTGGGGGAACATGTGGCGCCAGCAGTGTTCAGATGCAGCTTTCTTAGGCGTCCTCCCCTGGGACCTGTGTATAGGCTGACGGGAGCCGAAAGTGACAGAGGATAAACAGCAGGTTTCTTTGCTCTTTCCTGGGATTCGGGAAGATCCTTCAGGGCCAGAGTTAGCCCCAACTGATGGATTGCTGCAGGTTTCTCTTGGTCTTTTGTGTGGGTGGCTAACCTCTGTACTCTCTCCCTTCAGCTTACTGACTTGCTTTCCAAGAGTTTTCCTAATCCCAACCCTGAGCCCTCAGGTTCTCCTTTAGTCTTGATTTTGCTTCTGCCCACACGAGAGTGTGTGTTTCACCGTCACCCTGGGGGTCATGTGGCAACTGGCGGCCACCGACTCCCCGCAGGCGACCATAGACCCAGAACTCTAATTTTCTTTTTTCCCCTAAAGAAATGTAGGCAGGACTTCCCTTATTGGGTTTTCTTGAAGACGTCCCTTGTAGTTCATGGAGCCTGTATTTGTTAGCACAGTTTTATTTGCCACACGAGGTGCACAGACGTAATCCTAGAAATGTGGACTTAAACATCATCAACATTTTATACGGGGGCTGACTGTGATCGAGTGACTTTTTTTTATTTATTTATTTATTTATTTATTTATTTATTTTTAAATAATTTTTTTTTAAATTTTTATTTACTTATGATAGTCACAGAGAGAGAGATAGAGGCAGAGACACAGGCAGAGGGAGAAGCAGGCTCCATGCACCGGGAGCCCGATGTGGGATTCGATCCCGGGTCTCCAGGATCACGCCCTGGGCCAAAGGCAGGCGCCAAACCGCTGCGCCACCCAGGGGTCCCTATTTATTTTTTTTTTAAACGTGAAACCTCTTACCTCCAAAAGGGAAGGTCTTTTTTGCAAGGACAGCCTCCTGGGATCCCTTTGGTACTTCCTGAATCTCTAGTCTAAAAACACATTCAAAGACGCATCAGGCTGCCCGCCGCTGAAGTCAAGTCATCCGGTTAAAACGCAGAAGGGGAGAAAATCTTGGAGACTTTAGGGGACTGTGAAAGTGTCAGGAAACAGGACGAGACAGAGCGAAACCTGTTCTCTCCAGGTGGGCTCGAGCGGGCGCTTTCCTCTGGCTCCCCCCGTGTGAGCACAAGCGCTGTCCGTGCGCCACGGAAGCGGGAAAGAACTGGGCTTTTTTCGAATCATTATCTGAGTCAGGAGGGGTCCCGCCGGCCCCAGGCGGCGGCTGCGGGAGGTCGCGGGAGGTCGCAGGCCCGGCCCCCCTGCCCCCCAGGCACGCACGTTTCCCTAGAGCCAAGGCCCTTCCCGGTGCGGCCCCGCCCCGCCCCGCCCCGCCCCCTGCTCGGCGCGGCCCGGCTCCCGCGGGGGGGGGGGCGGGGGCGGCGACACCCCGGGGTCCTGCGGGGCGGCCGCGGCCGGAGCATGCGCCGCCCGCCCTGCGCTGTGCCGGGGCCGGGGCCGGGCCGGGCCGCCGCCGCGTCGGGACTGGCCGGGGCTCGGGGGGGGACGGCGGGGCGGGGGGCGGCGGGCGGGGGCGGAGGAAGCGTCGCGGTCCCCGGGAGGAGCGTCCCGGCCCCGAGGAGCCCCCGCCGCCGCCCGACCGTGAGTGGCCGCGCCCCCGCCCCCGGGCCCAAGGGCAGCGCGCCCCGGGAGGGGGGAGGCGGGGGGGGCGGCGCCCCGGGAGGGGGAGGCGGGGGGTGCACCGGGAGGGGGGAGGCGGGGGGGGCACCGGGAGGGGGGAGGCGGGGGGTGCACCGGGAGGGGGGAGGCGGGGGGGGGCGGCGCCCCGGGAGGGGGAGGCGGGGGGGGCACCGGGAGGGGGGAGGCGGGGGGGGCACCGGGAGGGGGGAGGCGGGGGGTGCACCGGGAGGGGGGAGGCGGGGGGGGGCGGCGCCCCGGGAGGGGGAGGCGGGGGGTGCACCGGGAGGGGGGAGGCGGGGGGGGCACCGGGAGGGGGGAGGCAGGGGGGGCGGCGCCCGGGGAGGGGGAGGCGGGGGGGGCACCGGGAGTGGGGCGGGAGGGGGGAGGCGGGGTGGTGCTCCGGGAGGGGGGCGGGAGGGGGGTGCCCCTGGAGGGGGGCGGCGGTGGGGGGGCACCCCGGGAGGGGGGCGGCAGGGTGCTCCTCGGGGCGGTGGGGGGTGTCCCGGGAGGGGGAGGCGGGGAGGGGGGCGGCAGGGGGGGGCCTCGGGAGGGGGGCGGCGGGGGATGCCCCGGGATGGGGGCGAGAGGGTGCTCCTCGGGGCGGCAGGGGGGGTGCCCCGGGAGGGGGGCGGCGGGGGGTGCCCCGGGAGGGGGGCGCGCTGGGCTTTGTGCTGCTCGGGCCGGGAGCGCGGGTCGCGGCGGCGGCGGGGCCGGGGGAGGGGACAGCAGTGGCGACCCGGCGTGTGCACCGCAGCAGCGGCCCGGCCCCCTGCGCCCGCCCCCTGCGCCCTCCCCGCCCCGCCCCGCCCCTCCCTGCCCGCCCGGGGGCGGACCCATCCCTGCGGCCGCGGCGCCCCCCCCAGACCAACCCCAGGGCCGGGCGGGATCCCGGCTCAGCGGGCCCCGGGCTTTCACACTCCGGCTGCGGGTGCGGGCGCGGGTGCGGGTGCGGGTGCGGGTGCGGGCGCGGGTGCGGGTGCGGGCGCGGGTGCGGGCGCGGGTGCGGGCGCGGGCCCCGGCCGGTGCTGACACCCCCCGGGAGCTGTCCCGCGGCGCCCGTGGCGTCCCCGGGTCGGGTGGCCGCGGCGTCGGGACCCCCGGGGCCGAGCTGTCGGTGGAGCCGCCGCGGGGGCCCCTCGGGAGGCGGGGAGCGCCGCGGGGAGCGGGAGCGGGAGCGGGAGCGGGGAGGGCTGCGCGCCGCCTGCCCCGGAGCCGGAGCCGGAGCCGGAGCCGCCGCCGCCGCCGCCGCCGCGTCCTCCCCCGCGTCCTCCCCCGCGTCCTCCCCCGCGTCCTCCCCCGGCAGGTGCTCGGCGCAGCCGGCCCGGAGGCTGGGGCTGGGTTACGCTGGGGCCCGCGGGAGGACCGCGGAGGAGGGGGGCGGGGGGCGGGGGCGGGGGGCGGGGCGGTCAGGCCGCTGCGCTCGCCGCCCCGCAGGTGGCTGCCCCGTGGCCCGCGGGGCTAGGATGTGGTGAGAGGATGGATGGGGCTTCCCCCTGCCCGGGCTCACGATGGCCAGAGAAGACTCGGTGAAGTGCCTGCGCTGCCTTCTCTACGCCCTCAACCTGCTCTTCTGGGTGAGTCCGGGGGCTCCGCTGCGCCGACAGGTGGGCACGGCCGGCCCGGGCTTCCCGCAGGTGCACCTGGCGCCCAGGGCCCGGCTGCGGAGCGCCGCACCCTCTGTTCTTCGCAGGAGTAAGTTTTGATCTTAAAATGCCTTTGACCTAGCTCCAGTGCTATTTGCGACTAGGAGGAGAAAAAGGAAGAAAGAAAAAGAAAGAAAGGGAAGAGAGAGAGAGAGAGAGAAAAGAGGGAAGGAAGGAAGGAAAAAGAAAGAAAGAAAAGAGAGAGAAAGAGAGAGAAAGGAAGAAAAAAGAAAGAAAAGGGAAAGAGGGAGAAAGAGAAAAAAGAAAGAAAAAGAGAGAGAAGGAAAGAAAAAGAGAAAGGAGGGAGGGAGAGAAGGAAGGAAAAAAGAAAAAGAAAAAGAAAGGAAGAAAAAAGAGAGAAGGAAGGAAGGAAGAAAGAAAGAAAGAAAGGAGAGAGGCAGGGGAAAGAAGGAAGGAAGGAAAAAGAAACAGAAAGAAAGAGAAAGAAGGAAACAAGAAAGAAAAGAAAGAGAAATAAAAAGAAAAAAGAAAGAAAAAGAGAAAGAAAGAAAGAAAGAAAGAAAGAAAGAAAGAAAGAAAGAGAAAAACAGACCTCTACGCCTGCATGCTGCTGGCAGTAAAATGAGACTTGAAGTGAATCTAGGGATATAAATAAACGCACGTGCTTGTGCTTGTAGATAAGAAAGTCGAGAGAGACGACCCAGGGAACTGCTTGTTTTCGGGAATTTCACATGACTGTCCACGCGGAGAATTGCTTCCTCACCTGGCACTAGCCTATGACACCCGGTGGGGGCAAGCAGTCTTACTGTGTTGTTGTAGGGGTTCACACACAGGTAATCCTATCAAAAGACTGGGGTACGCTTTTCTGGGAGATTCCGTACAGCCTGAAAAGGTGGTTTTCATGTAACTATTTCTAAGTTGGCAAAGTTTTGAGGAATTTTGTGTGTGCTGTTGGAAAATCCCATAACCATTTAAGGAAATAAAATACATAAAATTTAACAAGCTCATGGAAATCTTTATGCCGAATGAGCTAGTGACTTTCTATGCTTTGCACCCAGGCATAAATTTTCATTAAGTGTTATTTAATAATCACATTATTGTGCATAAAACTTACGAGGAAAATATAAAAATTTAAACTTTGTTGCTTGGGGAAGCTGAGGTGCTTACACAGATAGTTTTTCTTGCCAGTTTTGTATTCTATTGGTAATTATATTCCAACATTTTCAGTTAGAAATTTTAATGTGCGATTTATTTATCTGGCTGACTCGATGGCATTTGCCAGCCTCTTTTCATAAGGCTAGTAGGTGTGGATGACATTTTGGTTTGAATTAGTCCCTATGGGTGGCTCCATTTTAAAATGACAAATTAAGCCTTACTTCAGCGAGTCATCCAGAAGATGTCTAAACTGGCAGCATTTTTCTCTGTTTATGAAAATGAAAAAGCCTCACTGAGTTAAACTGACCACTTGGAAATGTAAAATCACTAATTGATCTTACTGGGATTCTTAATTCTAAATACGCACATTTTTCAAGGAGTCCTTCAATCACCTGCTTAGCCACCAACTAATTGCTTGTAAAAACAAACAGATCCTAACAAAATTGTTAAGATCTTGAACTGTTTAAAAAATTATAACAATACCACTTCTATTTACTCCTTTTCCATTTTTCTACTTTATGCTTTTGAATTATAGAATCATCACATGTTTATAACTAAAAGGGGATTTAAAGATGACGTGATTGAACTTCCTTACTTTGTGAGTGAGAAAACCAAGTGTAGGTTGGTGACTGGCCAGCGGTCAAATGGCCCAATAATGGCGACAGTATCAGTAGCCCCCACTCAGTTTTCTTGTTCCTGCATAATGCCTTTACGTGGATGATTACGGAGTTCTCAGTCTTGGAATTACTAGGATTTTTGGTGTAGCTGTCCAAAGAATAGCAATTTGAATTTTCCTAATAATCTGTATTATGGGGGAAGACCCCAGTCATTTTAAAAAAAAAATGATATTGGGATCCCTGGGTGGCGCAGCGGTTTGGCGCCTGCCTTTGGCCCAGGGCGCGATCCTGGAGACCCGGGATCGAGTCCCACGTCGGGCTCCCGGTGCATGGAGCCTGCTTCTCCCTCTGCCTGTGTCTCTGCCTCTCTCTCTCTCTCGCTCTGTGACTATCATAAATAAATAAAAAAAAATTTAAAAAAATGATACTGCTCTTCTGAGTAATGAATCTGCTTAAAAAAAAAAAAAGAACTTTTTCCTTAAATTCCTCCAGGGTTTGTTCTATCCCCAAAGAATATAAAATGTTGTGTCTTGGCTGTTATCCTGTAATTTAACTTTCTCACGTTCTGTGGGCACGTTCTGATATATTTATTTATTGAGATCCCTCCTCCCTTTCTCCAACCCTCTTCCACTAGCTTCCCCTCCAACAAAATAATCCATGTGAACTGCCTGGTATGGATCCCTCTCTGTTTTTCTTTATGTCATACAAAGCTGTATTTACCCCTACCTGTCCACATACACCCACTCACGCACCTTTCTATGTACTTTCACAATGTTTTTTTTTTTTTTTTTTTGGTTAAATTTTGGTTTCCTCGTTTAGTCGCCGGAGTAGGGGTGCTGCGTGGGAGACACCTGATAGGGACAATAACAAAACAGCGCGCCCTCACCTAGTTCTTGCATTGGCCTGGCACATTCGGTGCTTCAGTCTGTGAAATGGGGATGAACGTCCTCCTGGCTTAGAGTTGCTGTGAGGATCAGCGTCAGTATCTGCAGGGGCCTGTGCAGTTGCACGTAGCCGCGTCTATGTGGTGGGAGTAACAGTGGAGAGAAGTATTTGCGGTCATTACCGTCTTCCCAGGGTCGCGATGCTCAAGAAGATGCTCGGGGGTGGATTGCTCGGTCCAGGGAACCGCTGCGGTCGTCCTAGCAGCCAGTGTTATTGTTGTGATTAATACCGTTACTGCTACTAGATTTCTTTGACCCAGAAATCCTGTCTTGGGCATCTAGGCCCTAGAAAGAAGACACGCCACCCCCCCCCCCTTATATGCACACAAATATTTGTTGCCGTCTTGCGGGTGTTACGGCACTTTTTAATTTGAGTCAGTTGGAAAGGCTCAACGTGTCATTTCACTGCTGCTGTGCTTCTGTTTCCTCCCCTCCCAGTTGAGCTTGAGCATAATTTTCTTTAGACCAGGAGATGTTTCTTATATATTATTTCACTTTATAATTCATATTCATGAACTATTTCATATTTACCATAGAGGCTTGCCTTGTTGTTTGTCCGCTGACTTCATTGATGCTGTTGCTATACAATAAACAGATTTTCATATGCTGTTTTTATTAGAATTTTTCTTTTTTTTTAAATTATTTTTTTAAGACTTTATTTATTTATTCATGAAAGGCACACACTCAGAGAGAGAGGCAGAGACCCAGGCAGAGGGAGAAGGAGGCTCCATGCAGGGAGCCCGATGTGGGACTCGATCCCGGGACTCCAGGATCATGCCCTGGGCCAAAGGCAGGCGCTAAACCGCTGAGCCACCCAGGGATCCCAGTATTAGAATTTTTCTCTAGGATTTTAGCTCTTCTCTCATAGTCTTCTGTTCTTTCGAAGCACCCGCCTTTCTTGTTTTCGTTAGCGTTTCTTTTCCGCTGTGGGCTGTGAGCTTATTTTATATAATTAGAAATATCTGCTGGGATTTTTGTTGGAATTGTATGAAATGCATATCCAACTTTGGAAGAATTGGCATTATTCTTTTGGTGGTAAAGCAGTGTTTGCAGATGCTATATTTCCTTGCTGAGTCAGACATAGTTTTGAGCCTTGTGCCAGGCACATTCCTGGGCTTTCTTACACCCGCTCGTCTAATTCTCCGAACAGCTCTGGAAAACTGTTTGTTTGTCGGGTAACGAGAGGTTACTCGGAGAAGTGCAGTAACTTGCTATGACTTGCTAGTAAGTGGCAGGACAGGGACTCAAAGTCCAGATTTTTTTTTTTTCCTCCCACGTTTTCGTAGGAGTCGCACTGCGGGCCAGGTGGGTGGTGCGGTGGAGAAGCGGGCCGCTTCCCCCGGTGCGTCCGTCCGTCCGTCCGTCCGCAGGGAGGGCTTAGCTGTCCACCCCCTCACCCCCAGCCCTGGAGTGCTGCTTCTCAGACGAGTCACCTGGCAGATCCTCGTTCAGCACCTTGGGCGTGTGGGGCCTGGAAATCTGCTTTTCTAAAAAAGCAACGTGACGTCGTTGGTCTGAGTGCCACGTGTCCAGGGCCCAGGCTGCCGTCCTTGCTTTTAGTTCCCCCTGGAATTCGGCGCAGAGCGAGCCAGCGTAGCAGGTGAGCCCGACTTCTTAACTCAGACTTCGCCTTCTGAGCCTGGAGAGGGATGGGCCTCGCCTCTCGTTTTGCAAGACTGGGCAACCTGCCCTCGTGACCTCGGGGGTCAAAAGCTATAGCCTCTTAGTCTTCACTTGGCATTTTGAACAGTTTTTTTCCCCTGTGCATTTTCTACTGTATCAGTACCATCTCCCGTTCTCTACCCAAAAGGATTTTAGGGAAAAGAAAACTGAATCTTAACTGGGTACCTATACATCTTTGTTTGGCTGTTCTGAGAGTTGAAAATCGAACAAAGTGGGTTTTTTTTTTTTTGAGTATATTTTAAAATATGAGGCATAGGCCTACGAGGAAACAATTAGATCACAAATGTCCTGCTTTTTCTCCCTTGCCATGGATCCAGCCCTCTTGATTTGCCATCTGTTGAGTGGCTCTTCCATGTTTTGAAGAAGCATGATCCCGGTACAGCTATCCCGGAGTTAGCACGCGGATATTGAACCTTCTAGGTTTGTCATGAGTGTTGTGGGTTTGTAATGGGAGAAGTCACTTGGGACATGGTGCACGTGAGTGTACTGCCCAGAGAACTCTTTTGAAGCCACGATTCACATTCTGCCCACAAAGAAGCAAGGAATGAGTTATTTTTACTTCGAATTTATCCCGCTTTTACCATTTAAATGGCATATTATTTAAGTAAATGAAAGCTTTCCTCCATTTTAAAGGCAACTTCTGTGGCTTTATGATATGAATGCTTGTCATTCATAGATGGTAATTTTCTGCTATTACAAATATGGATAAATATGGTTGTTTCTGGAAGTTCCTGAGGTTGACGAACACCTGACGTTTATCAAATGTTTGTTTATTATTTTTAAAGATCTAATATCCCATCGTTAATTTTCGAGTCCTATTACCCTCCAGCAGGTAAGAGCCATTGCTTCCACCTACCATTGCGAACAAGAATAGCGATAGAGACACACTCCTCTAATGAGCTAGGGAAAGAAACGTAGAAAAGAAAACCTAAGAAGTGGGCAGGGAATCTAGTTCACTTTTGGGATCAATGCAGGGCAAATGAAACCGCAGAAGGTCAGTGTTCCGTTTCTTTTTCCTTGGCCATATTAGTGAACCTTAGCTGTTTGACTCATGGCACACCCTAAAGAGATTCATGGCAAGTGGACATTTGTATTCACTTTTATATAGTCTTATAAAGATACAATTCTTTAAATTGAAGCCCCTAACTTTATACTCTGAAGGTCACTGAAGTTTGCTTTATTATTTTTTTTTAAGATTTTATTTATTCATGAGAGACACAGAGAGAGAGACAGAGACACAGGCAGAGGGAGAGGCAGGCTCCGTGCAGGGAGCCCGACGTGGGACTCAATCCCAGGATCTGGGATCACGCCCTGAGCCAAAGGCAGACGCTCAACCACTGAGCCACCCGGGCATCCCTGAAGTTTGCTTTAATTCTAAGGAGTAGAGGAGAGCCTTCCAACAAATGTTAGTGCTTTTTTCCTAAGATCTATTATTTTTTTTAAAGATTCACTTATTTTATTGAGAGAGAGCATGTGCATGTGAGGACAAGTGGGAGGGGCAGAGGGAGAGGGAGAGGGAGAGACTCCCAAGCAGACTCCACACTGAGCGTGGAGCCCACCTCGGAGCTCAATCCCACGACCCTGAGATCACAACCTGAGCCGAAACCGAGAATCAGATGCTCAACCAACTGCACCCCCGCCCCGGGCGCCCCAAATGTTCGTGCTTTTTAAAAAGAAACTTTAAAGAAACTTTAGTCTCAGAGATAAAGCTGATAGGTGCTTTTTTTTTAAATATTTTATTTATTTATTCAGAGACACAGAGATTGAGAGAGAAGCAGAGACACAGGGAGAGGGAGAAGCAGGCTCCATGCAGGGAGCCTGATGTGGGACTCGATCCCAGGTCTCCAGGATCACACCCTAGGCCGAAGGCAGGTGCTAAACCGCTGAGCCACCGGGGCTGCCCTGTTTTTTTTTATACGATGTGGCCCCAGCTGAGCAAAGGTAGTCCTCACAGGGTTCATCAGGACCGCCCTTTGGAGAAGGGCATGGGGGGGGTGCTTGGGGGCACATCCTTGCTGCGGGCCCGAGCGTTTCTGACGCTGAGCTGCCAGCCTCCAAATAATTAAGACTTGACTTATTTTTATATTTCAATAAATCACAATTCTAATCCTTTTTTTTTTTTAAGACAAAAAGGAATTTTGAGAGTACCTAGTCCAATTCTCCGTTTTCAGGAGGAGCAGAGGTTGCAGAAGTTTGGATTACTTGCCCAATTACCTGGAGGGAGAGAACCGTAACTACGCTCCCCATCTCTCTTCTGCATTCTGCTCTTTGCTACTAGATTTGACATAAAAAGGAAAGTTCGAGTAGGTATTTTTAAACATCTGTCAGCCTTGAATATAAACTACTGGTGTCACAGTTACCTTATGTGAGACTCTATATTATGGATGGCAGACAGTTGAAGGACTTAAAAGTCTATTTTGTGACTTTGCTCTTTTTCTTTGGTGGAAACTGTAGGCATACGTTTCAAAGTAGTTTAGGGATTGTGCACACACAAAGAACCCTGGTTTATTTTATTTTATTTTTAATTTTTTAGAACCCTGGTTTAGAAAACAACTTGATTCAATCCTTATTTTTACATAATTAGATTTGAGCAAAACCAGATTATGTCTCCCATGCAGCAAATTTCATACGTGTGAATATTTGTCGAGAGCTAGCATATTCTGAATGTTTTGCAAGACAGAACGTGGCAAACGTCCTGCTAATTAGTACATGAAGTATATATTTCTCTACTATTTGCGTTACTTTCTAAACATTTTCTTGAACTACAAGCAATATTTTGCAATACTGCAGAAAATGTAAGGAGTCACATGCCTAGTTGCCTATGATAATCACAGTGTTCCTAGTAGTTTAATCATGACGAGTGACAGTTAAAGAATTATTTTATTTTAATCTGGAAAATCAGTAGAAAATGGCATTATGAGTAAGGAGTCCTGAATGGCTTGCATGATCTGTGCTTCTAGATTTAATACATCAGGGCTGGCACCGAAGCGACCTCATCTCCTTTTAGCTGAGTTTCTTGCTTAGCGTGCACTCTGTGTGTTGTTGCTGCTCCGATTTTCTCAACCCCGGTGAGGAGCATCACTCCTCGAGAATGAAACTGTTCCCAGACATTTAATGCAGCTGGAAATAATGTCATAATAAAAACCAGCTTAGTCTGAGAGTCGCTTGTGCGCCGTTAGATAAAGCTTTGTGGTGATCGTGTGTATTTTGACGGACGTCCTGGGCATGGCTACGATGCTTGGGCAACTGGTGTGCAAGAGCACGGTAGAGTCAAGCAGGAGTCTGTGGTTTAAAGGACACTTGAGAACACTTGAAGCAGCTTCTGACCCGATATATAAATCTTTGATCTTGTGATTCAGCAGGCATCTCTCTCCCCTGGAAAACTTCCAGGGGTACAAAGCTTAGCGGTCCCTAAAGCGGCCCCTGATTTTGCCAGCCTTCCCGTCGAGCCCATCCGGCAAGTTGAGATCGGTTCCCTTTGAAGCACTGATCCTCCGGGTCACCGCCGACTAGCTGCTGGGCCTCTCGGGCGGTCGGCGGGCCTGCTGCTCCTCCCGTCGGGGTTCGCGGGGTACGCGGGCGGGCGGGTGAGAACACAAGAGCAGGGCGGTGCCCCGCCAGTCGTCCAGGGCCCAGGCTGCGGGGCAGGAGGGGTGGGGGGGCTGGCGCCCCAGGCCTTGGAGCTGGTCGCGGGGTTGGGGGGAGGCCGTGGGCCCAGAGGCCTGGGGTCTACGCGGGCCCGTCGGGGAGGCGCGAGCAGCTCTTGGTCCTGGGTACGGCCCGTGTGCAGGGACAGGCTGGAGACGGCTGCCAGGTGACCAAGGATGGCCCGGGGCCCTGCAGGAGAGCGTGGGGGGCAGGAGGGCTCTCCAGGAGCCACCGCAGCTCCCCCAGGGCTCCCTGCGCTGCGGGAAGGCTTGACGGGAGCCGGGCCCACGGCTCTGGAGACACTGGCATCGCCTGGCAGCGGAGAGGCCCACGCGTCTGCAGCGGCGGGACGGGGAGGACACGGCCTCGGGGTGATGAGGGCCCGGGCAGAGGGCGCCGGGCAGAGGCTCGGCTGCCGGCCAGGTCCAGCTCCTGCGGCCCAGGCGGGAGGCAGTGGCAGGGACACGCGGGCCGGAGAGGGCTGGAGGGGGCAAGGAGCGGGCCTCGGGGGGCCCAGCTGAGGCGAGGCCAGGCGGCGGGCGGCGGGGGAGGGCTCCGGGCAGGAGGTGGCCTGTAGCCAGGCCTGGCTCTCCGGGTCCTCGGGCCGCGGGGTGAGCGCCCGCCCGCCGGCGTCCTGGGCCCTGGAGCGCGGCCTCTGTCCCGGCCCCTGCTGCGCCTTCTGACTGCGCCGCCCTTGCCCAGGTGCTCCTTCCCCGCTGACCCTGACGACGGCCCCTCAGGCCCCACCGACTTGAGAAAGGTCCCTCTGACCCCGTGGATCGGGTCCGGCACACACAGGGGTCCTTGGAGCAGCCTGACGCAGCCCCAGCACTTGCCGCGGTTTGCACTCACACATTCCTACCTTCGACGGTGCCTCCGCGTGTCCCCTGGTCGAGTCCACGGCAGAATCGAGACAGGGCCTGGCGCGGCCTCTCCACCCCACGAGGCACCCGGCCTCACAGCCGTCGACCACTGTATGTTTTTTGAATGAAAGAATTATTTCAAAACCATGCACTTAGGGCAGCCCGGGTGGCTCCGCGGTTTAGCGCCACCTTGGGCCCAGGTTGTGACCCCGGAGTCCCAGGATCGAGTCCCGCGTCGGGCTCCCTGCATGGAGCCTGTTTCTCCCTCTGCCCGGGTCTCTGCCTCTCTCTGTCTCTCTCTGTGTCTCTCATGAATAAATAAATAAAATTTTAAAAAAAACCCGATGCACTTAGCCATTCTACACTATTGGAAATGTCTTGCAATCGTGCATTTTTTGTCATAGACGGAAGAACAGCGTGTGACGACCACTGATAGTCTGCTGTGCCGAAGTGAGGCATCTGACGACTTACTGGTACCCTGTCTCAGAGCCATGGTATTGAAAACTGGCTAGGACAGCCTATAAGAAATTAGAGATGGAGAAACCAAGATCAGTTATTACAACTTCAAAGAATGATAAGGAAAGGAGAGACTCGTTTATAATTGCCCAAGAATTTGAGGTAATGAGGTACAATGTCGCGTTAATAGACTTCCCTGAACCCCGTGGAGCGTACAGGCATTGGAAGGTCCACGTACAGCCCAGGCGAGGGGGAGCGGGCGTAGGCTCAGATCTAACCAGGTGGTCCGGGGTCCCCTGCCAGCCCTGTGTGCTCAAGTAGGTTCTGTTATTATGCAGGTGTGAGGAAGCCAACAGATGAGACGACTGCCGTCGAAGGGATGGTTTATTATACTCACGGATCGAGAGAGAGAGAGAGAGAGAGAGAGGGCGTGAGCATCATCACGAGGCCCAGGAGGGGAAGCACTGGGGTCGGTGGCGAGGCAGGGCGGGAGAGGGCGGGCGCACACTCGTAGCGTGGCCGCTGCATCAGCAAGGCACAGGTGGGACAGGCAAGGAGGCTCGGATCGGCTGGTTTCAGTGCCTTCAGCAGCCTCTGGAGTACAGGGCTGTCCCTGTTGTCTGGGACTCGGAGCTTGGGGGGGGCGGCGGCAGGTGTGGAGTGGCCCAGAGTGAGGGTGTGCAGTGGGACAGGCGGTCGGGGTGTGGGCTCTGGGTCCGTCGGTTGGGATTTGAAAATGAAAAGTGTGAACCTGGAAGAAGGACTGCGCCCAAGGGTGAGGAGGGCAGGCAGCCGAGGCAGGGTGGCTCGGGCTCGGTGTCCGTGTGTTAGGGTGTGTCCGGCGTGACCATGTGGAACAGATGTTAAAGCCTCCGATTCACAGAAGCCAGAAGCGTGATTAATAAACCGTGGCTGACCCACGGGGTCGCTTTTATTAGGTTTCCACTCTGTTTTTATTCCCACCAGAAATGGGGAGAGGAAGAACGGGCCTTACCCTTCTCTGAACCGTGGTCTCCGGGTCCTTACTGTGCTCCCGGCCGGGCCCCCTGAGACTCTGCTCACCCAAGACTGTGGCTAAGCTGCCGGGCCCTAGCGCGGCCCCTACAGCCCGCCCCCCACGCCAGCCCGCGCCTTTTAAAATAAGAACCCCGCGTGCTGTGCGCCCGGCTCCTCACTGGGGAAGTTGATATGCTTCTCTCTAAGCTCGGAGGGCGGTTAGTGACTAAGCCCAAAGCTCCAAAGACCAGGCTTGGATTTGAATCCCTGCTCTGCCATTTACAGTCTCCGAGACCGTGAACAGATTACCTCATTTTTCTGTGCTTTATGGGACTTTCTGTGGTCTGTAATTACCTGCCTTATCTATTTTTTTCTTGTGCCCCACAAAAGGCTCACAGAGGCTGGGATCTAGCATCTCTTATTCATTGTCGGGTCTCCAGAACTAGCACAGACACTATGAGGTGTCGGAAAAATATTCGCAGCTGAATGAGGAAGGAGCAAATCCACGGGCGGGCGGGTTTTCCAAGCGGGTAGCCCTATTCCACTACCCAAGAGGTCCCAGGGCCCGGCCTCTTCTGTTTGCCTTGGAGCCTTCATCCAGAAAGCATTTTCATGACCACTGTCTGGGTCGGTACGGACTCATTCCGATCTGGTATATTCATTATTTCTGTATTTAAAGCTGAATCTCTAATGTACAATGGTAATTGAGGTCCATCCATTAAGATGCCAGAAATTAAAAAAAAAAAAAAAAAGCTGCCAGAAATTACTAAAGGACAAATTCAAGGTAAATGACGTCCTTAAGCATAAGGCACACTTTAGGGGAATCTCCATCTAAATAGGAAGGACCTTCAGAACCTAGGGGTTAACTTTAAAATATTTGAAGAGCTCTCAGGAAGACTTGTTCTACATGGTTGCTTTAACAAAAGTTTTTAAAGAAATTATGGACAATGTAAAACATATATATATGAGGATCCTTAAAAAAAACCTTCATACTATTGTCATACCTCAAACAATAATTTCTTAACATTTTCAAGCATCCAGTCATGTGAAACTATTCCCTGTCATCTCATAAATATCTCTCTGTTTTGATTGAATCAGCATCCAAATCAGGTCACCATATTGCACTGGGTTGTCTCTTAAAAATTTTTGACTTACAGTAGTTTCTTCTTCCTCCCTCTTTTTTTCCACATTAGCCAGTTGTGTGTTTTTTTTTTTTTTTTTTTTTAAGGAAACCAGATCATTTGTCCTGTGAAATCTCTCATATTCTCGATTCTGCTGATTGCAGCCCCACCCCATGGTGGCATTTAATGAGTTCCAATGTCTTCCCTGTATTTCCTAGACACTGAAAAGTAGAGCTGGAGGCTTGGTGAGATTCAGGTTTGACTTTTTGGTAAAAATACTTCAAAGGTATCTCTGGGTACTTCTGATTGCATCACTGTGGGGGACACATTATCTCTTCTTGTGATACTAAAGCTAATCAGAGGGGTCTGGTATTTCCCTTCAGCCTGGTGTCTCCACCCTGGGAGTTAGCCTTGCACGTCCCGTCCCGCAGTTGTCGGCCCTGACTACACATTAGAACATCTGCGGAGCCTTTACATATTTCTCATGCCTCAGTCTTTCTTTCTTTCTTCTTCCTTCCTTCCTTCCTTCCTTTCTTTCTTTCTTTCTTTCTTTCTTTCTTTCTTTCTTCTTTCTTTCTCCTTCCTTCCTTCCTTCCTTCCTTCCTTCCTTCCTTCCTTCCTTCCTTCCTTCCTTCCTTTTCTTTCTCCTTAAGATTTTATTTATTTATTTGAGAGAGAAAGGGAAAGAGAGCATGAGCAGGGCTGGGGGTGGAGGGAGAGGGTGAAGCCGACTAGCAGGCTCCCCCCAGATCTCCATCTGGGTCCCTGGATCATGACCTGAGCCAAAGGCAGATGCTGAACTGACTCCCCCAGGCGCCCCATCTCAGCCCTACTTTCAAGAATTCATCCAGGGTGAATCTGGGCTCAATAACTTTTTTTTTTTTTAAATTAAAGAGTCCTACATGATTTTGATGCACAGACAGGACTGGGAACTACTGACCTAGTAATCTGGGCAGTGGCTGAGGATCTTTGCCTAGAGATCCGTTATTTCAGAAGGGCTTGTGAGATAGTGATACTCTCATGCTTCCTGCATGTATTAGCAAAAAATCTATAAAAACTTTCATGAAGCCTTTGGTTCTTTCTTTAGTTTGCATAGGAAAGGTAGGATAAAAATTGGATTCCTACCAGTTTTCTGAATAATGAGTTGAATATCCACTATCCTACAAAGGGTTGACAAGTGAGTTTTAAGTATCATTGTAAATTCATAGATTTTAGCATATTTGATATTTCAAACCATTGCATTTTATTATCATCATCATCATCATTATTACTCTGATCATCTAATCATCACCATTATTACTCATCATCTAATACAATCATCATCTAATACATCATCATCATTATTACTCTGATGCTCTAATTGACCTTTAGCCAATGGAAGCACTTTCAAGTTAGCTCCTGTGACTTTTGTGGGAACATCAGTAGAATGGATTTGACTGCTTCTTTGCTATTATATATGACATGTCTTAGGCTCATCTTGTACATCTGATAATTTCGTCATTCTGTGGCCTCTTCATCTTCTTCAATTCCTGTCTTGACCCTGAAATCAGTCACTTAACAGTTTAGCTCTCTGTGTCCTATTTGGTGACATTCTATTTAGTGGCTATGATGGGATTACAAAACGGAATGGCAGATATTCCTAGGAATAGTGAATTTCTACACAGTTATTGGGAAAAAGCATAATGATTATGTAACAGAAGAAATCTTTAATTGTTTTAATGATTAATCCTACGGAAAATGTTGTATGAATCTTTGATCGCCAATTTGTATTTGTTTTTTTCTTTCCAGTTAATGTCCATCAGTGTGTTGGCCGTTTCTGCTTGGATGAGGGACTACCTAAATAATGTTCTGACTTTAACTGCGGAAACAAGGTAGGCTTTGTAACTAATGATTGATTTCTTTCATCAGGTTTCCTTAGACCCTACTTTCTAAGTAACTTTGCCCTCAGCCGTTTAGATGATAATGCTCTTCCACAGTCAATAACCTTTGTTGCAGACACTTGCATGTACGGCGCTTGCCCTGGAGAACGTTTCCGGGAATGGTAACACCAAGTTGCCTGTCCTCTGGACGGTGTGTCAGCTGTGTCATATTTGTGCATAAAGGACACCATAGCTACTTTTCTATAAGAAAGTGACTTCTTATCTTCATATTCCCCCGCTAAGGAAAACCAAAGTCCACATTGCCATGTTCTTCTCAAATTTCAGAAGGCTGATCCACTAATATCACGAGGGGCAAAATTACTTAACTTCTCGCAGCCTCTATTTCTGCATCTCTGAATGGGGACTGTCACATAGACTCCTCGAGATGTCTGAAGGGTTGACTGAGGTACATGTTTGTAAAGTCCTCGATACAGTGGAGCTCAGTAAACAGTAATGGCTAATTTATTATTATTAATTATTATTATTATTATTATTAGTGTTACTAGTATGGTTCTAGTTAATGATTTTTTTCATATAGTATTTCAGCAAAAATCATCTCCCTTCCTCTTTCTTTTAATATAGACCAATTTCCTTTTACAGAGCAATCTTTTGCATTTGGGGGAAGGGTCAGTTGGGTGGGCAGAAAGAGTGCTACCTATGGAGTCCCAGATCAGAGAAAAGGAGGGAGACTCTTCTCAGCTGGGCAACAGCAGGGCCTGTTTCTTTTCCTCAGGCTGAGGCTACAAAGCTAATAGTAGATGGACTTCTTATTGAGGACCCCCATCTTATAAGATATTTTAAATGAGTTGAGGTAGAAATGCTACCGCTTGTATATAAAAACAAAAACTAAGCATGACAAAACCAAAATAAGACCAGCAAGCAAGTTGCTGATAGCGCAGTGATTTTGTAAAGAGCTGCACAGTCATCGGGTTGAGGCATGATGCTTTAAAGGATTATTAACATGAACCTCAGTTGTGTCTTGTACCTTGTCTGAGGTGCATTTTGGTTATATTTTATGTATAATATGACGTCATTGTTCTTCTTTCAGGGTGGAGGAGGCTGTCATCTTGACTTACTTTCCTGTGGTTCATCCAGTCATGATCGCTGTTTGCTGTTTCCTCATCATTGTGGGGATGTTAGGATACTGTGGAACAGTGAAAAGGAATCTGTTGCTTCTTGCATGGGTATGGTGTTTACATCTTCTCTTTGTTATGGCTAAAAAGACCAACTGGCACTGTGTGATTTTTTTTCATCAGTGCACAAGATTACGTGCTTAGGGACCCGTGATAGCAGGTCTCTAATCTGTGGTAATTGTTCAACATCCTGTGAGAAGGGAAGCGTTCTTTCCATGAGAGATGATTTCAGCACAAGTATTTGTTGTACTCAAATGATGAGGTATGGAAATATGTGCGGCCTTTAATTATTTCACTCAGGCTAGGTGTTGGCGTTTTCATTTGAAAGTATGAGCTGTTTCTTCGTGTCATGGGCCTTATTACCACCCAAACGGACCCCTCGGTACTGGAACAAAGAAGTTGTAACAGAATTCTGGTTCTCTCTCTTCTTTTATAAACAAACTTGCCATAAACCCTATGTGGAAATTCAGGTGGTGAAGAAGCAAATGGATACTAAAATCCCAGCACTGGGTTTACACGGGTTAGTGGGTCAAAGTGAGTCTTGGCTTCCATAATCTTAGTGGGTTTTGTTGTGTTTTGTTTTGATTCTGAAAGTGTTGAACTAGATTGCTTCTTAAGTTCTATGATTCTGAAATGTATGATTTGACTTCTAACTCAAAAATTAGCAAACTCTTTTAACATTAAAAATCTGAGTCAATTTAAATTGACTAAATTAATTAAATTAAATTTTTTAAGCACACTGAGTTTTTAAAGTATTGCCTGTTAGTGGCAGCAGAAAGTGAGGCTGCTACCGTAATTGCAGACATCTCAGATTCTGTAAGAATTAATTCATTGGATATATTCCTTTCTTTGCTGCAGTTCTCAATGCTAGCTATGCATTAATTTCTTGAAGGGAATGTAAAAACAAATTTAATGGGGTGCTAATATGCTGAATATCTGAGCAGAAGAAAAAATCCTGCTTTGTAGCATTTGGAGATTTCCATGGGGTAAATATTTGCAGCATGGTCGACTTCAGGCTACCAAAGTGGTATCACTGAACACAGAGTTGGGGAGAGATGAGCACAAATTGGCTCTCAGGAGTCAACTCCTGCACACCAGTGCTTGACTGACTCCCAGCCCAAGCCAATTAAAACAGAATCTTGGTGTGAAACTGAACTACAGCTTTGACTTTCACAGGAACGACCCGTGTTAATATATTAGTTGGCTTTTTGGAGGATAACTGTTGGCTTCATGGACTCTTCAGGTCTATGATTGGGAGGAGGAAGTAGACTACACTCAGAGAAGGGGACCATGCCCATTACCTTGCTTCTCTCCACTTTGGTGTACAGTGAGGAGGATGGTAGAAGGGTTTGGAATCTTATTTTGCCATTTAAGATGTGTGGACAATGATTTAAACATAAACTCAAGGACTTACTTTATATGAAACTTAGAGTTTATAGGACAGAGAAGGTATTTTGAACTTAAAAAAAACAACAACCCAGAATCCTTGTTTTTCTTAAGATTTTATTTATTTATTGGAGACAGACGGGGGGAGAGACAGTGTGTGCGCAAGTGCATGAGTGGGGGTGGGGTGGGGTGGGGAGAGGGGCAGAGGGAGAGGGAGAGAATCCCAAGTACACTCTGCACTCAGCGTGGAACCTGACTCAGGGCTCCATCCCATGACCTTGAAGTCACCATTTGAGCCAGAACCAAGAGTCAGATGTTCAACTGACTGAGCCACTCAGTGCTCCACTCTCAGAATCCTTCTTTAAAGCGACAATCTTGGGGACGCCTGGGGGGGCTCAGCCATTTAGCGCCTGCCTTCCACCCAGGGTGTGATCCTGGCGTCCTGGGATCGAGTTCTGCATCGGGCTCCCTGCATGGAGCCTGCTTCTCCCTCTGCCTGTTTGTCTGCCTCTCTCTCTGTGTCTCTCATGAATAAATAAATAAAATCTTAAAAAAAAAAGTGACAGTCTTAGAATGCTGTCCCATTTACACAGGAATTTAAGAATAACTAGCCTTCCCCCTCTCCCCAACTTGTGTGACTCTGGACGGTGCCTGGACTGTGGGTTTGGGTGGAATGGGATAGCATATTTCATGGAACCTCAAAGACTTAGGAACATGTTTTGAGAACCATTCATACATTCCATTAGGGCTGCTTGAATGCTAGTAAAGCAAGCTGATGAAGAACCAAGCAATTTGGTCTCTGCTTGAGGCAGGAAGAGTCACTGGGACCTGTGATGAGAGGCTAATCTGTGAAGCTGGAAAGAACCGTATGATGTAAGGATGACATGGGGGAATGAAATCATAATGACAAAGATGATGATAAAGTAGTTGATATGAAGACTTTTATATGAATTACTTAATTTTGTGTCCTCCACCATGCTAATGAGATAGATGTTGTTATCCCCATAATATAGATGAGGAAATGAGGCACAGATTGGCTGATATGCCTGAGTCTGCATGGCTAGGAAGTGGAGAATCTGCTATTCAGACCATGGCCGTCCACTACGATATATCTTAACAGCTTCCCTATTTTACTCTATAGCTGCTGCCTTTTCCTGCGTGCTCATAAATGTTTCTCACGTGATATAAAACATTTTCCCTAGGGTCTTTCTTTTTTGCAACCTGATAACAATCATCTAAAGTAGATAATTATGAATGAGGTTCACAGAGGTTCAGGAATTTGTCCAAAGTCACTCAGCAATAATGGGTTGGAGTTTTGACTCAGACCTCAGTGTTCCTGACTGCCAAGCCCATTCTCATTGGGCCTTTACTGACATCTCTAGTAGATGCTTCTCAACCTTTGAAGTCCAGCATATTTCCCTAAATATAATTTCTTTTTGTAACCAGTTCCAACCAGCAGCCTACAAACAACTTGATAGTATGAACTATTCACCTCACCTATAGCTTTAATCAAACTGGAGTTGAAGCAGATCTTCATTTCGGCACAAGAAATAAACTACCATCCTCACCACCATATCTTGGATGTTATTTGAACACCAGGGTTGATTCCAAGCAGGTTTATTGTTTGAATTTATATTTGAAATTGTTAGAATACCAAATGAAAATGATCATCTTTAAGAGAAATGAAATGAAATGAAATGAAATGAAATAAAATAAAATATGAGCCTGACTATTAGATGGGATTCCACTACAAGGGGAATGGCTTCTTTTTTTTCCCCCCAAATTTTTATATAAATTCTAGTTAGTTAACATATAGTGTAATATTGCTTTCAGGAGCAGAATTTTGTGATTCATTTACATATAAAACCCAGTGCTCATCATAACAGGGGCCCTCCTTACTCCCCATCACCCCTTTAGCCCATCCCCCAACCACCTCCCTCCCTCAACTCGCCATTTGTTCTCTGTCCTTGTGGGAGAAATGGCTTCTTAAAAGGAGCAGAGGGGCATTGATGCAAAATAAGACAGGATGTTAGGTCTTTGGTGAATATTTGCGATGCAACTCTCATGTTTTCTTCCTTTGTGCACCCTTTTAGCTTTTTATCCTAATTAATATTTAAAGAAGTTCAATGCATTCAATCCAACTGATTCGTTTCCCTGTATTTGAAGTCTTGTTTCACTTTTAAGACCTGTGAATGAGATTTGCAGGAAGCGGCTTTTTTTTTTTTTTTTTTTTTTGAAGACAACCAGTATATAAAAAAAAGACAACCAGTATCTCTGATAGTTGCCATATCTTTTGCATGATTACCAAAAAAAAAAAAAAAAAAAGAAAGAGCTGGCCATTGGGCTCTGGTGCTGCTCAAGCAAAAGTCAGCACACCCATTCTGGTTGTGGGAAAAAGTGGGAGACTCTCAAAACAGATCTTTCTAACCCAACTTGTGCTCCCCTCACACCACTCCCCCAAAATACCACAACTGGGCAGGCTAAGAGGCCACCCACAGGAAAACATTTCTGGTGAACTTTGGTCATGAACTTTGACCCTTCTATGGAATTATAGCTGCAAGTTGTTAAAATACTTTAAGTTCCCATTTAAGCTACCCATGTTGGATGCAGGACATCCAATTAAATTTGGATTTCAGATAAGCAACACATAATATTTTAGTAGAAGTATGTCCCCTGCAGTATTTAGGATGTACATCTACAAAACATCATGCACTGTTTATCTGAAACTCAGATGTAAATGGGCATCCAGGCGTTTTGTTGGCTTAATCTGTCAACCCTACTCCAACGAGATTCGTTCTTAATAAAGGTGAAATCGTCATGGCACAGAAACATTTGTGTATTTATAGGAATATATTTTTTATATCTATAAGAAGAGTTAAATCCTAACTGTATTAGGGAAACAAGCCAAAAACGACTAGGAAAATAAACGTGAATATGCCATGACTTTCAAAGTGATTTTAGTAGCAGAGATTCCTTCTCTTTTTTAAAAGAGAAATTGAAGCTAAATGGAAATTGGTCTTAAGCCTTAGGTGGGTACTCCCGAGGCTTTTAGCTGTAGACTAAATGAAATTCATTTGTTATTGTGATTCTACTTTGCTATTAACATAGGCATTAGGAAAGCAGGGCCGGCTCGGGAATGTAAACATCAGCAGGCGTGTTTACAGTGTCGACAGCCCACAGCCCCCACTGTCACCATCAGGAGACCCCACTCCTCAGAGCCCGATGCTAATAGACCTCATCCTACCTCCCGCAAACCGCCACAGTCAGGCACTGGTCACAACTTACCCTGGAAGCACTGCACATGCTTAGGACCAAGGACCTTGTGTTTCAGAGGGAAGGTTTTTTTTTTTTTTTTTTTCCTCCCATTTTCATTATTCCAGAACATTTGCATATGGTTAACGATTATTCGGAAGTACTGGTAAAGCTTTCTTAAAATATGCAGTGATTGAATCAGATGTGAAATGATTCTCTTAATGGAAATCAAGTAAAATTTTAATGGCCATGAAGAAATTAACCATCCTCGGGCTTTTTCTGTGGGTTGAAATCCTAGTGCAAGGCGGGAATGCCTTTAAATAGTGATTTTCTACAGACTCTCCGTTTAAGGCCTTCTTCCGAGGAGTTGTACGTTTTATGACTATATAGCTAGTCACGAGCGACGCAGTCAA